GGCTACTTTTTTTTTTTTTTGAGTTGGAATCTCACTCTGTCACCCAGGCTGGAGTGCAGTGGCCGCTCCCGGCCACCGCAGCCTCGACCTGCTGGGCTCCAGCGATCTTTCCGCCTCAGCCTTCCAAGTAGCCAGAACCACAGCCGCGCACTACCACACCCGGCTAATTTTTGACTTATTGTAGAGTTGAGGTCTCGCCAAGTTGCCCGGGCAGGTCTCAAACTCCCGGGGTCAGGCAATCCACTCGCCTCAGCCTCCCAAAGTGCTGGGATTACAGGCTGAGCCACCGAGCCCAGCCTTAATACTTTTACGGTCTGTTTTCTAAGCCTGCTACAGTGTGAAGGCCCCTATTCCTGGTCCCATGCCATCCTCTTGTGCTTGTGCACTACTTTATGCTGCTGGGCACTCCCTTCAGTAGTTTTCCAAGAAAGGCACATGGAAGTAACTCCTGAGTCTTTGCTTGTCTAAAAATGTCCTTATTTTACCTAGACCCTTGATGGATTATTTAGCTAAATGTTAGGTCAGTGAGTCGGTGCTGTGCGAAAGACGTGAAAAACTGCACAAAGAATAGGTCAGAAAACGTGTCTTTAGAAAGTAGATCAGAGAAAAAGGTGAACCCGCCTCTCCAATATTGGATCAGGCCAGACACTTAAGGAACATTTGACTGTGAATGCTCGAAGTTGAAAACTTTTAAAGTTTTCCCCTTAGTGGGGACAGGCAAGCCCAGGAGCTATCACCATGGCGATAGGGTGGTGGTTTGTGTCACATCTGTCATGAAGGGCTGGTCACAATAAGTTAGGTCAGCTTGACCCTTTATGGCAGGAAGACAAATACTTTGGATAACGGGGCAATTGGTACAGAACATGCTTGGGGGGTGTCACAAGACAGTTATCAGTAACTACTTCCAGAAAACCAGCTTGTTTCCTGTTTAATGGTTATAAGGTGAATTGAAGTAGGCGGAAAAAGCATGGCAAAGCTAAGCAAGCTAAAATGGCTGCTTCTCTGGCCGGGCTCAGTGGCTCAAGCCTGCCGTCCTAGCACTTTGGGAGGCCGAGGCCAAAAAATTGCCTGAGCCGAGGGTTTCGAGACCAACCTGGGCAAATTGGTGAGACCTCATCTCTACAATATATCGAAAAATTAGGCCAGGCGTGGTGGCTCAGCCTGTAGTCCCAGCACTTTGGGAGGCTGAGGCGAGTGGATTGCCTGAGCCTGTGGGTTCGAGACCCACCCAGGCAACTTGGTGAGACCCTCATCTCTACAATAAATCAAAAATTAGCCAGATGTGGCAGTGCACGCCTGTATTTCCAGCTACTTGGAAAGCTGAGGCAGAAGGATCGCTGAAGCCCAGCAGTTCAACACTGGGGTGGTTGTGAGCATGCCACTGTACTCTAGCCTGGCAACAGAGTGAGACTCTGACTCAAAAAGAAAAAAAATTGGCTGCCACTCTTAACTAAAGTTATTCCATTTTGGCTTTTCACCTTTTTCATTGAATATAGACTTATCAATTGAAAATAACTTTTCTTTTAGAATTTTGAAAGCATGGTTTCATTGTTTTCATTTCTTTTATTCCCCCTTCCTTCCTTCCTTTCTCAAACTCAATGGGCCCAAAACTAAAATCAAACTCCACCAGAAAATCCTGTTACCTACAACATTAAAATAGATGCTAAGTCACAATTTCTCACTGTGCCCAGCCCTCTGGTCCAAATTGCCATCAGCCCTCACCTGAACATCAATTTCAAATTGCTTTTCTGTTTTGTTTTGTTTTAATTATAAAGCATTTCAAATAAGCCATGTGTGGCTTTTATAATTTTTACTACATGAAAAGTAGGAAGCTCTTACATGCATCATCATAAACATATGAAGTTGCTTTAAGTGTTCTGCCTTCCCTGCCCCTGTGCCCACCAGCGCTGCTTCCTGCAGCACCTGGAACTCGGTCTGGCAGCTGGAGTGGGCGCCACTCCAGGGCTGTTGCAGGGAGCCAACAGCCCTGGGAACAGCCCCCAACAGCGAGTGAGGGAGAGGCGCTCCAGCGTCCTGCCCTCCGTCTTCCGGTATCTCAGCAGTTACCGAGTGAGAACCTGGTCACTGGCCTTGAACTGCCATCCTTACCTTCCCAGTTCCATTTTTCCACACCCCAACTGGTGCTTTCTGGTGGGATCTTCCAAATAAGCTGCTTTCTTTTTTTTTTTTTTTTTTGAGTTGGAGTCTCACTCTGTCGCCCAGACTGGAGTGCAGTGGCTGCTCCCGGCCACCGCAGCCTTGACCTGCTGAGCTCAGGCGATCCTTCTGCCTCGACTTTCCAAGTAGCTGGAACCACAGGCAAGTGCCATCACGCCTGGCTAATTTTTTTATTTATTGTAGAGATGTGGTCTCACCAAGTTGCCCAGGCGGGTCTTGAACACCTGGACTCAGGCAATTCTCTTGCCTCTGCCTCCCAAAGTGCCGGGATTATAGGCATGAGCCACTGTGTCTGGCAAAAACACATGATATTTTGGAGAGGGAACAACTTGAAATAAATTAGAAAATGTCTTTATATTAATCATTCTTTTTATAGACTTTGAGGTTGTACTTAATACCTTTCACCTCCTACACATCAGAAAGAACACCTGGGTATTCAGAGAGAACTTGATATATCTCCAAATCAACATCTGGGGAAAATGTGTCACTTTCAAAGTCCTACATGATCTGTGTCACAAATAGTTTATTTTTGTTTTGTTTTGTTTTTATTTATTTATTTTTTGAGTTGGGGTCTCAGTCTGTTGCCCAGGCTGGATTGCAGTGGCAAAGATCATGACTCACTACAGCCTTAAATTCCTGGGCTCAAGCAATCCTCCCATCTCAGCCTCCCTGAAGCTGGGACTACAGGTGTGTGCCATCAAGCCCAGTTAATTTTTTTGAGTTTTTGTGGAAATGAGGTCTCATTATGTTACCCAGGTTGGTCTTGAAGTCTTAGGCTCCACAAAGGCAGATGTTATTCCAGTTTTACAAATTAGAAAATTTGAGGCTTGTCCAAGATCACACATCTCAATAAATAAATAAATTCCGTGGAAGTTTGGGTCTGAAAACTGCCTGTGGATTGTATCTCTTAGAGTCTACTGAGCAAAAGGAGTAAAATGCTGAACAGTGAGACCCATATTTTCTTTTTCTTTTTTTCCTCCTGAGTCAGAGTCTTACTCTGCTGCCCAGGCTGGAATACCATGGCATAATCATAACTCGCCACAACTTCAACCTTCTGGGCTCAGGTAATTCTTCTGTTTCAGCCTCTCTGGAGTAGCTGGGACCAGAGGCATGGGCCATCACACCCAGCTTTTTTTTTTTTAGCCTATGTTGCCCAGACTGGTCTCAAACTCCGGGATTCAGGCAATCCTCCTACCTCAGCCTCCTAAAGTGCTGGATTACAGGCATGAACCAGTGCACCTGGCCTCCATTCTGGATCCCGTTTCTCATATTCCACAACCTTCAGGTTTCAGGGGCAAATCCAGTTTGATATTTTAATAGACAGTTGATCAGGAAAGCTGAAAGTTCAGCTCTACTGACCTAACTTAGTAAACATTCACTTGGGATTTTTTACAATTGAATGCCAAATCATGGTACCTCATTATTCTGAATCAGTCGGAAGGGAAATTTAATTCATCTATTTTATACCTGAAAGGTAGTGAAAAGAAAAAAGGGATATATCCGTCACAGACACTCAAATGAGGGACTGAATAAGAGTCAGCGGATTAAGCAACAACAAATCGTGACCGTTTCACATTCATACTATGCCCCAGAGCACCAGATGAATCACCCAGACCACAGGATGCGACTTTCTGCTTCTAAAAACTGCCTGTCACCACCAGCAGCCCAGCAACTCCGTTTTCTCTCTGCCAGGAGAGAATGAAAGACATGCCAGGAATGTGTGAACTGGGCAGAGGGTGATTCCAGGAGCAGCACCGAGGTCATTGAGCTCGCTGCTTGTTGGGCTCCATGCAATGAGGAAGTCTATGGATCATACCCCTGACATCTTTGTTCTGCCCTTGATGTAATTCACAGTCCCCCGTGTGGACTAACTCTGAAGAATCCTAAAACCCATCTCAGGATGCTGACCATATGATTGCAGTAGTCCTTCCAGCTGTTGAAAATATAGGCCCTTTCCAATAATGATATATACCCCGAACCTTTTAAAAATGTATTTTAAAGTTTCAAGGTAAAGTCCAAGTAAAACAAAGCAACAGTTACTAAAATCTAAGTGAAACAAAGCAAGATTTTTTTTCACATTGAACACATAATATCAATAATAGTATTTGAAGCTGCTTGATTGCTACAAAATTGTCTATCCTAGTTAGTGTGGGACACTGAATATAATAACCTAAATCCTGTTTACATTATTTTTCTTCACAGCTAAACATGCAGATACAACAGCTTTGCCAGTGGAAATTGGTGAAAATGGGATAAAATACCTGATCATTTGTTTGAGAGTTAACAGGAAGATATTTGGCCATAAAAATTCTCCAAAATAATTTTCTCTGTGTTCTATTTGGCAATAGATTCAACTTGAATTTTCAAAAAATCCTCTTACAGGTTAAAGCTGCAGTGAGCTGTGATTGCACCACTGCACTCCAGCCTGGACGACAGAGTGAGACTCCGACCAAAAGAGAGAGAGAGACTTCTTACAAAGGCAGAAGTCTAGGGGGAAATTGTTTTCTGTATTCTTCCAGTGAGATTTTCAACTTTTAACAGGAAAATAACTGCACAGACCAGATGTATTTTTCATCCAAAAGTATCTCCCCCAAAATATTTTCCAAGAACTTTGCCCATGTGAATTTTACCAAGTCAAGTGAATAAGAAAACATTTTTACCATCAATTTGCCATATCTACTGTCATAAATGCCAGAACATCTCATAATGAGCAATGATGGCATTGCTACTTTTTAGCTATTTGAGTTTCAAATAGGAGATCTAACTTGGGTTGCAAGTAAATCTGTTAGACCAGTTTAGACAATGAAGATAGAACTTTCTGGGTTTGTTTGTTTGTTTACTTGTTTTTTGTTTTTTGAGTTGGAGTCTCAACTGCCGCCCAGACTGGAGTGCAGTGGCCGCTCCCAGCCACCGCAGCCTCGACCTGCTGGGCTCCGGCGATCCTTCACCTCAGCCTTCCAAGTAGCCGGAATCATAGGCATGCGCTACCCCGCCCGGCTGATTTTTGATTTGTTGTAGAGATGAGGTCTCGCCAAGTTGCCCAGGGGGGTCTCAAACCCGCGGGCTCAGGCAATCCACTCACCTCAGCTTCCCAAAGGCGCGGGATTACAGGCTGAGCCACTGAGCCTGGCCGCTTTCTGGGTTTTTTGAGTTGGAGTCTCACTCTGTCGCTCAGGATGGAGTGCAGTGGCATGATTGCGGGTCACCACAGCCTTGACCTCCTGTGCTCTGGTGATCCTCCTTCCTCAGCCTCCTGAGCTCTACCTGGAACTACAGGTGTGTACCACCATGCACTACTAATGTTTTAATTTTTTTGTAGAGATGAGGTCTCACTATGTTGGCTAGGCTGGTCTCAAACACCTGGGCTCAAGCAGTCCTCTCCCTCAGGCTTCCCAAGTGTGAGCCACCCTGCCTAGTCAAAGACTGAATTATTAAAAAGAAACGTGGGCATCTCATGGACTCCTAAATCAGGATTAAAACCTGAAACTTGTCATAAGAACCCTCTGAAAAAACATGGGATGTTTTCTAGTGTTCATTCCTCTCTTTATGTGAATTTGCTTCCTTTTTTTCTCTTTGTAGGCACTCTTTTTTGCTTCTCCATGTACATAGCTGTACATGACCAGAGGCGCGGCCCCTTAGATATTGAGGATATAGTCCAGTCACCAAAAGAAGCAGATCAGTATTTGCAAGTCTGTTTTAAATTACCAGGAGACGAAATTTGATTGGCCCAGCTTGAATTAAGTGGTCCAATCAGCAGACACAATCCAGTAGTAGAAAGGTAGACTGAGGTCTTTAGCATCTGAAGGATAGTTCTCAGGGAAGGGGAAGCTAGCTTGTGGAAAGCACTGAAAATGCAAAAAGCACACCTTTCTTAATAAGCTAAGTACTTCCCAGTTAACAGCAAATCATGAATGTGGATTATGTGTATTTTTTCTTGGTGATTTAAGTGGCATCATGGTACTTAGTTACCTGGGAGCACCATGACTTCTTGAATGATCCCTAGTATTGAGATTGTAGGGGGGTTTTTTTTCGCTATTTTAGTGGGTTTTAATGACCATCCATATTGAATCTTTGCATGAATCCATGATAATTTTTTCAGATTATTTTTTTCTGAGAATTGATAGGTCAAAAAGTTTACAAAACTTTTAAGTCTTTTGATATGTATTAGAATATTATTTGACCTTTCTTATCCAAATTGATGGTCCCAAAACTCAATGCACTTGTGTCTTTTGTCTTCTCTCTCTCTCTCTCTCTCTCTCTCTCTCTCTCTCTCTCTCTCTCTCTCTCTCTCTCTCCCCCTCTCCATAACTGTGAGAAATACATTTTCATTCTTTAAGCCACCTGGTCTATGGTATTTTATTATGACAGTACAAAAGGACTAATACAACAAATATCTGTTCAAGTCCTTGCTTTAAATTTTTATGGGTAGATGCCCAGAAGTAGAATGGCTAGATCATATGATGATTCTATTTTTAGTTGTTTGAGGAGCCACCATGCTGTGATCCATAGAAACTGCACCATTCTGCACACCAACAGCAGTGCACAAGAGCTCCTATTTCTTCACTTCCTCACCAACACTTATTTACAGTTTTAGTTTTATTTTATGTTTGTTTGCTTTTGATAATAACTATCCTAATGAGAGTGAAGTAGTATCTCATTCTGGTTTTGAATTGATGTTTTTAATGATTAGTGACATTAATCATCTTTTAAATGCCACCTTTCACTTTTAACTCACTTTTATTCTTCTTAGGTTCTGAATTATTTAGCATATTTTCATTTCTGTTTCCTCTATTTATAATAAAATTTGCACCTTATTTACCCAGAAAAAAGTTCAATTTTCAGTTCAAATCTATCTTCTCTGTAAAATCTTCCTGAATACTATTAATATGCTT